TTGACACTTTTCAAGATTTTGCCAGCAAAAATTCTTCTGACTAAATCTGACTACTTAGGACAGAAAAGAGTCACTCTCACTGAGTGTTGCTCTCTCTTTTTTGCTGTCATTTTTGAGTTAAGGAACGCTTTTTGGACTATTGTGCAGTATCGAGTTCTCGATACTACTCAGTACTCATTAGAAGTATCGATATTTTGTAATCGGTATTCGTACCGTTTTACCACTTCTCAAAAGAAAGAACAGCTGATATTTTCACATTTTCCTCGCAGATATTTTCGTTTATATCACATAAATAATTGAAATCAAAATTAAAATCGAATTCCTCAGCAATGAGCGTAGTTAAATATATTGGTCGTACAACTGATTTTCGCGGTAAGACACTGTGGGAGATTGTGGGAAATCTGCGGGACTTTGGTGTTGGCCGGCTCGTAATACGTAACAAATTCCAACGATATGAAGAGCCCTGCTATATGCGTATACTTAAGGTGGAAGTTACTCCACATGATGTAAGTCTGCGATAGTCTCTTTAATTTATCAATAACCCAATTTATTTTTCTTAACAGCCTGCCAAGGACCCTATTCGTAAAGTAGCTGTTACGGTGGAAAAAACATGGCGTGGTATAGTAAATCCAAATCCAGTCACCATATACAGAACTAGTTATAAACCCGATTATGAGTTAGTTCCAAAAGAAGATGAAACAAAATACCTTAACAACACAAAAAAAATATCTGAACAAATATTAGCCAACAAAATTGAGTTTCCACCACTCTTTCGCGAATATATTCGAGAAGAGACGGGTATTCAAGAACCCAATATGAAAGTTCATCATAAACAAACACATAATAAGCAAACACGGTTGGCAAAAGAAGGAGAGAAACCGACTATTGAATGCACGATGGGACTGGGTACACCAGCAAGTCCCAAACTCTATGAAGGCGTGTTATAAACATCCGTTAATACATACATTGCATGTCAACTGTTGCCGACAAATATAAAAATAAATATCCATTAAGAGCTTATTTGATTACCATTTTTTATAAAAAAACTTCCTTCTACTTTGACTCAACAAAGGATCAAGATTTTTTACACATAATTTCGAGCTTTGCGAACTTTTATACGGAACCCATTATTTAATATAAATGGTTATAGATATTACAATTATAGGTACTGCTTATTCTAAAGAGCTCCGATATACACATTTGAAAATAACATTTAAATTAATGAAAAGTTTCTGCGTTGAAACATGATGCAAACCATGGCGCAATATACGTATGTACGTATGAACATAATACCTACTCGCTTTTTTATTTACTTTGAATTCAATTATAATTAACTGCTTTTTTGTTTTGTCATCGTCGATTTATTGGTCGACAGACTGGGGCCATTTATCAGGACCTTACCTCTTTGTTCTGATAGCCAACTCCCTCTCCCATTCTATTTGTTTGGCCGTGTCAGCATTCATGCCCTTTTCTATCATATTATTAATTCTTTGCATTTGATCGTCCTTAAAATTACCAAACTTTTCTTCCTTGCAATTCTTTCTTATTTTGGCCCGATCTGATTGAGATCTGACATAATTTCTTTGCCGTCTCTTACTTTGCGAATAATCTCTGCTTATTCTTTTTTCTTTGTCAACATTTCCTTTGTGACTAACTTCTTTAGAATTAAGTTTTTCTGCATCTTTAGAGCGGCTTTCATCTTCATCATCCTCTTCCATGTCCTCTTCTTCACTTTCCCAATGCTGAGAATTGGAAAGGATCAAATTTTTTTCAGCTGCACTCGCAGTATTATCCAAGTATTTATGTTCGTCCTCTTTTCTTACTACCGTAAAATCTGGATAATATGATATAAAACGCAAATCCTTAGACTCGGGTAGAATTACACCACGAAAAACCTTTTGTGCTTTCACTGAAATAGTAACCTTTTTCTTTTTTGTCTGAAATGTTGATTCGAGATAAATTAAAAATGTATTATGTTTAATAAGCTTTGTTTGCACTTACTATTATTGGTGTCAAATCGGCTTCCAAAATGCGGTAGTAAGTCGGTTCTCCTTCGACCTGCTTCTCTGAACCTCTTATTATCAAATGGCCAACCCCATTATCCTTAAGACTCCTCAAAACAATTCTAAGTGGTTTACCTATAAAACGCCTTTTACTGGCTCTAAAACCCATTTCGAGGTGTTCTGGCTGTGCTCAAAATATTAAAGCGAATGTGACTTTCTTCAATTTTTTTCTTGGAATTGGCTGATATGGCTGAAGTTTAGAGCGTTTTCGGATTTTTTTGCGGTCTTGCCTTTTGTTTAATGTCCAATATTATCGTATAGCAGCAACGAGTGCAATCAATTGTTTATAAAAATTAAAAACAAAACTATTGTGGCGAATACTGCGGCAACACAAAGCGAACAACGAGAAATAGGCA